CACTCCGAAAATTCTATGTGATCATGTCCACAAAAATATGCTTAAAAACTGGCGACCTTACAAGTAAAAATCATTCTTATTTAAGGAGGGGTGAATTTGGTTCTAACTTTGTAGTTTGAAAAAGAACAAAAATATAAATAAATAACTAACCACTTAAAAAAATACAAAAATTTAATTTTTAATTTCCTTTTCTTCCTATTTTCCTATTCATTAAATTTAGGGTTTCTCGAAAATTTTCCCATGTGTATTGGCGACTGCAAAACAGCAGCAACGTTGGCCGGCTGACTGACTTTTCCGCCGGTGGCTTGATTTATGTGGCAACTGTGACACGGCGAGCGTTCTCTATAATTACAGAGCCAGTTGATCCGGCGTAGACACTCCGGCGGCTGCGCCACGAAAGTCCACGAAAATATAATCGAGTGTGGATGCATATGGTATACTATATATACACTCGCACACACATATTGAAAACATCTACTTCTCCCTTTTTCTCTCTCCGTTTTTCTTTGGGCTGAGTTTTCACCACATGCTGTCAGCGAGTTTTCCGGCCCCCTATTTCAGGGTCTAATGTTGTCAGCAAGGTCTTGGCCACAAATTCATGGCGGCTGTGAACTTAGCACCCGCCACGAAAAGATTCGCACATTGTAAAAATTCTGGAAATATGAGCTTCCTGGAATGTGGCTGCCCGCTTGTGGGATTGTTGTTGTTGTTGTGTTGCATGTTGTTGATAGCCATTTGTAGACATCTGGTTTTGCAGCTTAACAAGACACAAATAACGCGAATCGATGGGAAAACAATGGAGTGAACTGTGCTTCTGTCTTTGCTGTTTAAAAAGAAGATAAAAAATATTCTGGATATCCATGTGTATCGTATCCAATTTATTGCTGCAATGGAAGTGATTAAAAGAAAAAGCCTGCATTTATTTTCATTGAAATTTGAAGTTTAGTTACTTGGAAAAGAAATATGTGTACCAAGATTAACTTGCAGGAAATTCTTTCCTAAACAAAACCTTTATCTTTGAACAGCATTAAAATTCCAGTAGTGGTTTGTGGTTTCCTAAGTACATACACTTTCGAACACCTTATCCAAGGGCTTACTTGTTAAAAAACCAAAAGAAAGAAACACTCTGAATGGGATTCAATGAGTTTGCTCCGGAGGGCGTAACAAGTACACAAAGGCAAAGGTAAAATCACCGCCGACAGCGGATCGCTGACCCATTTATGCAGATTTTCGTTGGAGCAACAATGGCTTGTACCTCCGAAAACCAAAACAATTACAACAACAACAATGACAGCCACCGTGCAGTGCAACAAGTACAACGCAACACTCTTGTCGCCCTTGTTTTTGTTGCTCTTGTTGTTGTTATTGTTGTGGTGTTTCTTTTAAAGCTGCGATGTTGTCGCTGAGAATTTTTGGTCATTTGTCATGTTGATTTATATTTGCTCATTGGCATTAAATGCTTAACAAGATTTTCACGCGGCTCTTGGACCGCTTGACCCAAAGTTGGCGGTAACCTTGAGCGATTCGCTTCGGTTCGCTTCCTTTGTCTCCTTTGGCCAAAAGCAGCTGACAAGATCCCACTTCTGGACCTAAGTTGACACAGCCTTTGCTTTGTTTTGAAACGGAACACTGAAAGAAATATTGATAAAAATATTATTTAACTATTTGTTTGCTTATCCCGTATTCATGTAAAAAACAAAGACTGACTTCTCTGTTAATAAAGAAGCATTGTTCCTACCGTTCATCCTATTTTCCCTTAATTTATTTTGAATGTCACTCTACGATTTCTCTCTCAGTGCTCTGTAGCACAGTTTTCGGGGGAGATATGTTCCATATTTACTTAGCCCTGAGTCACTCGTTGAGCCACCGCGATGTGTCAGTTTTAGCTGGCCTGCCGTCTGGCATTTGTAATTGAAGGATCGGAGGGACTTATCTCCCGCAGTCAGTACGCTGCTCTCCGCTCCCCGGTCAAAACAAACAGCACTTAAAATGTGTTTTCTTGTTTGCCCGCCATGTAACAATTGGCTGGCAGGCGGAAGTGAACTAGCCAAGGATTCCGAAGGCGAAAGGCAAACACGCGCAGAAACGTGACTACCTGTGGATGGTGAATAGAGCCATAAATACGATCGTTTGTCATAGAACACGGGCCCTATTCTGCGACTCTGGACCCTGGACACTGTGCACACCCCGGGTATCCGCCCATTAATCATGCAATTGTGGCTGCAACCGAAACCGGCAGCAAATTTTCGCAGCCAGGCTCATCAATAAATAATTTGCGGCCAATAGAAATGCAGAAATGCAGTGCGTGGGGTGGCGCTTAGATTAATGAAGGCGTCGCGATTAGAATCAATTTGAATTAATGAACATTTAAGGCGTCTTTCGACTTTGTTTGCCCACAAACACGCGCAGCGGGGGTTTTGGGTTGGCTGGAAAAAAAGATCTAAAAAAGTCCAAAGCAAAACAAAAGACTTAGGCAACGAACTTGGCGGCGGCGTGCGGTGTGATTTTATTTTTTTTTTTTTTTTTGGCAAAATGTCGGCCCGCCCGGCTGGTCGGCTGGATGGCTAGATGGTTGCTTGGTTAGCTTATTAATTTCACATGCCTCGGCCATAATGAAAAGCGATTTTATATGGCCCGGCCGCCTGCCGTCGTTTATAATCAAGTTAAATGCGCGCGCGTCCATAAAAACTTGACTTATCAGCCAAACGGCAAGGCCAACAAATGGCGCAAATGCATTTAGGGGGGTGCGGCTAATCGGGGGGCAAACGAGGGGGTATTCCCCTCTCGACCACAAAATCTGCATATCGCAACGTTTGGAGACAGTGCGACCATTAACAGAATGATGTCGCTGAGTGAGTGCAAAAGCGAAGCGAGCATTGCCTTTTTATGGCACTTTTCACTCGCTTCGGTTTCGGTTTTGGTTTTGGTTCGGTTTTAACTCGGTTCACCGCATTATGGAAAATCCCATACAACTTTATTGACCAGCTTCCCGCTGTGTGCAAATATATAACTCTGTTTATCGCATTTCATTCGGCATTATTTATGCCAAAGTGAAAAGTACTCATACAGAGAGAAAATCTAAGAAAAAAAATATGTGTATAGTATTTAAATTTTACAAAATTCTTTAATTGGTATTAAATTTATTGGAATTATAAAACTACAAATGATAAAAACAGAAGACTTTCTGTAATTTTATAGATTGTAATTTAAAATTGAAATTAGTAATTTGGTTTTTTTTCGGTGCAATCTCTAGCCAAGTTTCTCCTGCTGCCATTGGCATTGAAAACTATTCAAAATATGCCCGAAAATATCTTTTTGTTTGTCGATGTTTTCGCTTTTGTTGCGCTTACCTTTTCGCTGGAAATCAAGGAGACCAGACGCTATCGATCAGCATGCAGCACATCACTTTGGATGGAGTTCGTATTGGGATTAGGAATGGGATTCGGGGTTCGGGGATTGGGGAGCTCCTCACACGCTTGCTTAGATTTCAACACAATGGGCAGTTTCGATTTCAAAGCCGGCGAGAGAATCCCGGGCACGTAGATCGGGTCGGGAATGGTTATGGTATATCTCTGTGACGTTGATGCGCACCTTCGATAAGGATGAGACCGGAGAACACACCTCAAAACGTTATGAAATGCGAAGGGAACGAGAAAGAAAACGCAAGAGGAAAGCTAATTGAGGGGAAAAGAGAGGGAAGAGAGGGAGATGGCTGGAAAACAGGAAAGAGTTGACACGGCTAATCCTGACGAATTGTTGTTAGCCGTTTTGGTTCATTCAGCAATTTGATTAGGCCAAGAGTTTATTGTCCTTTAGGAATATGATTAATGATGTTTAATAGTTAGTTCTTGATCTACAAAGATTTTTGGGTTCTAATAAGAGCGCACATTTCATTTTGTTTTTTATGTCTAAAGGCCGAAACTAATAAACTGGTAATTAAAAGCACAGCTGTCTATAATTTTCACTCTTGTGGCTTTTAATTTGTAGAATTAAGGAAAAGACCGGCTATAAATGGTATTTACAGTTCTGGTTATTATACTATAATAAATCTGTGTTGCTTCGGAAATTCATATGCATATTGAACTAAATTATAAGGCAAGGGAAAAAATCAAAGCTCTTAATTATCATTTGGTGTTCTGATCTCAAGGTAAATGGCTCTTAAAAAAAAGGTACTTCTAAAATTAAATGAATTGGGGCCTATAAATTTGTTTCTATTTATTTCATTGTTTTATGTGCTTTGGTTTACCACATGTTATATAAAAAATTGCTTCACTTTCGTTTTGGTCCACAAACTTTATGGTTGGAAAAGTGTTAGGTAAGTCAATGCAGGCGCTAATCAAATTGAGACAACGAAAGTGTTAAGTCGCCTTCCAGGAATCGGGGGAACTAGCGACTATTAAATGCGTGTTGGGCCATAAATCTGCAGATAAGACAATGGCCAACTGATAAGAACTGGGGGAGATGCAAGTCGATAACCGACGAAAGAGGCTGCACAAAGACGAAGCCCCGGGTCGTAAAATCCGAAACCCAAACACTAAATAAGCCATAGGAAAAACTAACACTGGATTTTATCACCGCTTGTTAGTGTAAATTTACAAACACACAAATAGAGTTTTTCCAACAGTTTTTACTTTCAATGAACCGTTCTAGGGGTTTCCTCTCGAACGCAAACATGTTTGACGCTGTTTGAGGTCGTTTGCGATCGGTGCAACTGGCTCGAAACGAGCTGTTAGCGCGGTTTGAGCGCTCTCTTCTCTCTCACTTTACCCGTTTGTTGTGGTTCTTGCATGTTAACCCGCACTGTTACCCGCTAATCGCAGTTCTCGCGCATGTTAGCTCCATACAAACGTCGCTGTTAACTGATATTTATTCTTCTCAAACATGTTAGCTCGCCATACAAAACTCACTGTTAACCGCTAGTTGTTGGGGTTGCCGCTGTTAACAACAGCCGTTGAGTTTTTGAAATCGAACAAAAGTGGTTTGCACGCTCGAAGGCAGTTTCAGTTTGAAAATTTTTTTCGACGAAAGCGGTTGCTGTGCGGTTTCGCTGCCGGATTGTTTTCGATTAGCGGCTCCGAATTGCCGTTCAAAATATTACAATATATTCGTGTGTACAAAATTCCCGAGAGATACGAATTTGGAAAATTTATTTACTTAGTTAATCGTCAGAAAAAGAGTGACGAAACTGTGAGTGCGTGACGAGTGATCTTACGATTTATGAATGAGCGCGGGTGCGAACGAATTTTATGAGTAAAGAAAATAACCAACGCGATAAACAGAGGCACACTCACACACAATCGCTTTAAAAAACCAACACTCACCATTTACCAATAAAGAAATCGTTTGTTTTTGGAAAACACATAAGAAAAAATAATAAATAACAGCTCAAAAATTGCACTTGCAAACAAAACAAACGCATCGTTTGTGTGGCTTAAATTTCGCACGGTTTCTACACTTTTTCCCCCAACTAAAAAAAAAAACACTCCCTTACCCCCTTTTTCGAAAGCCAAGAAAAATAAAAATATAAAAACTACATACAGGAAAAAATATAAAGCTAAATAGTGCATAAAAATCGGTTTTCTTTGCGGTTCGGTTCCGTTTTTGTATGGTGTGCGTGTGTTTCTGTTTCCCCTATCTCTCTGTCTCTCTCCCTCCCTCTTTGCCCCACCGCCCCGTCTCTTTCTCTTTTTAGAGAGAGAACTGCGGAACGCGTGTGCTTTGTTTTCGATTACGTTTACTAAATTTTTTGTACGCCCCATAGAAAAAACATGACGAAATGTTGTCGATGAAAACGAGAAATAAATACAAGTGATTACAAGGAAATAAAAAAAAAAAAAAAACGAAACAACGAAAATAAAAGAGAAATTATACATCAGATCTATACGAAAAGAAAAGTTATGTGAATAAATATACAAAGCGAAATTCTATTTGGTGTTTATGGAATCTTCGATGGTGTTGTGAAACCGAAAAAAGAATATAGTTACAGATACTCTCTTCTTCTTCGAGCAGCTGCAAACGCATCTACAAAGGTAAATACAGCGGAGCTTGGGACCCCACGTCGCTTATCTTCGGGGGAGGGTAAACAGAGCGGCTTATCTGCAAGTCCATAAAGATCTGCAGATCCCGGGGTTTATGGGTGGCTTCGGGGCTTCCTAGAACGCAACGTCAGAGTTTAGATACATCTTGTGATTGTGACTGTGATTGTGATTGTCGCCGGGTTCGCCACTTACTTTCACTCCCCAAAATTTACCTGAGTTTCTCGGTCTAGACTCTCCTTTTTTTTTTTGTGTGGCACAACTTTATCTTGTCAGCTGCGCGCTGAAAATGATAGTGATAACCTATATTATATATGTTTACAGTTAGTTAGTCGCTGGCATTATCTGTGCGACGCGTTCGAGTCACTTTCTTGAGTTATCTCGGATCGCTTTTTTGGTTCACCTCTGATCGGTTCTTAACCATTTCCGCTGCTGTTTGAATTGTCAGCGGTTTCTGTCGATTCATAAATCATAATCGCTGTGCAGTTTGTTTACTCTCTTGTTTGGTGGAGGTTCTCCCCTCTGTATTTGCTTTTAATTTCATGGGAATTATTACCCAAAAGTGCTCAGTTTGATTTGCATACTTATTGAGAACTCAGATATGGCTATATCAAAGAATTTCCGGTTCTACGGTGCGTCATCGGTGTCGATCGTGTTTAACCCCCGAGACATTGGCGACCCGTTTTGTCTGCCATTATAGCAACTCTTGATACGGTCCGCCCTTTATTATTTTACAGCATAGCCACCTTATGTGTATATATAAACTCGTTTTGAGTCCGTTGTGGCTGTCTGCCTTTGTTGTTTACACTCCACATATGTACCGATAAGTATGTAAATAAGTTCACAGCGAAACACTTGTGCTGGGTGGTTGATAAAATAGCAAATTTCAGGTAAATAAAACTGAAACAATATTTCGGTTGCCCTGCCGTCATTCTTTTGGCTGGGAAAGACCCACAAGAATTGTATACTAAAAGGGGCATGAATTACATCCCCTTGATTAGCTGGAATTCTATCTAGTAAGGGATCTCTTCTAAATTTATTACAAATTCACAAAGTTAATTAAACAGCAGTAACAGAATAAGTGGCTAAATTAGTCAAATGGTTTTTAATAAAATAAATATAAATAATTCTGCACCAAATTCTACTCTTGGGCTAGCCACTTATCTTTTTCCTGAAATCCACTTTTATTTTTAAATTAAACAAAACAATGTTATACCCCATCCAGCAGCTTAGAAGCTAATCTCCTCCCCAGATTTTCTCTGAGTTAATTCAATCGCTTTCCCTCTGTTTCGCTGCTCGCAAACATTTATCAGGCGGGGCAGGTTCATCAATTTCGTGTGTGATAAATGTCGTACAAGAATTTACACAAATATGCATGTCTGCTTCCCCAGCTGCCGGGTACAAGCAGAGTTGACAAAATGATTTGTTTGGGCGCCCCACGTTTTGTTTTTGTTGTCGCCAATCTCATCAGAGCATCTTCATGATCACCGAGCGCCACCCTGAACTTACGACCAGAATCTCGGAGAGATTCTACATCCACGGTCTGGAGCCCAAAAACAGCCACTAATTCCAAACAATGTAAGGCATTATTTATTTTTAACTGAGGTCATCAGCGTAGACTCGTCTATTACAGAATCGCCCGCCTCTCTCTCGCTCACCCTCAAGAATTCTTCGTCTCTGCTTCTCTGGGCTCCATTCTCTGTTCTCCATTTTCCGACCCCCTACACAGAAACCAAAATATGATCTTTGAGATCTGATTTAATGATAGAAGAATTGGGTATCAATTTGGTTGAATTACATGCATTTCAAAGATAATTTTCTTGGAGCTCATATTTCGTACTTTAATGTAATCAACAACTCCAGATTGTTTAAAGTCTTTAATTTTCCGACAGATTATATATTCCTTTCTATCAAGTCTGAGTACTCTTATCAAAATTTAAAATCTTTGCATAGCTATGCAAAAGTAACATATTTAAAATAATTAGAATTTCCATTATTTTTCTCTGTGCACCGTTTCGAGTTCTATGGTGTTGTTCTTGTTTCAAAGCTAATGTGCTTGGTGCTGTTTTTGTTCAGCTGTTGAACTCGAACTCTCACCAAATTATGCCACACACACACACACTTACACTTACACTGATAGTGGGAGAAAGAGAGGGGAGCAGTTTAGTTGGGTTTACAAAGATCCAAGATCCAAGACCCAAGACCCAATGCCAGCGGGGCCAGCAAACATTATTTGAAATATTTATGCTTGACTTTTGCGCCTCAATGACTTTTGAATTGCCTTGCCTTTGGCTGCCAGTTTTTACACACACGTGTTGGTATCTGCATCTGTGTATCTGTATCTGTATCTGTGTTTTATGTCGGTTCTTAAAGATACGCGTAGATCTTTGTGTATACTTTTTTACATGCCGGCGCGCACATATGTTGCATCAATGGATTTGGTTTTCGGCATCTACCATGGCAGACTAACCCCACGAGTGAAAACTACACAAACATTAAAGACACATTAACCTGCTTTTAATTTGTCAATATTAGCTGGTCTTTGGCCGTCCGAGAAGAAAGGCCTTTCCCGGGTTCTCAGGCCACACTTTTCATTTCTTTCGGCCAACGCGTTGGAAAGTGAGGCAACAAATGAGATGAGGAAAGGGCAAAACAACGAGGCAATAACTCCGCACGACAGACCCAGCGTGTCTGGATGTCTGAACGTCTGAATGTTGACCTTTTCACAGCTGGAACCATCTTTCACATCCAAATCCATTGGGAGTTCTTTTCGGCCTGGCAGCATTTTGGCCCATTGCTCGGCCGCTTGTCAATTTCTGTCAGTTGCTTGTCAAAAAATTTGTTTGGCTGTAAAAAATGCAGTGAAAACGTTTAACACAGACCACATAGAAATGAAAAACAAACCAAATGGAAAAACAAAAACAATCTGGAAAACCAAACACGATTTTCATGTAAGCCATCCAGAAAATGATTGACGAACCGCACTGACAAGCTGACTAACTGACTAACTTCTCCGTACTTCTCAGTACAATGTGCTCACTTGTAGTTTTGTAAATTCCCCGTTTCTGGCTGCATAATTAACCTTTTGCCCGGACTTTTGAGGTATGTGCTATGTCGCCGTACTGCACTCATGTCCGCTTCGTTTGCCCGGTCTGTTTGCTTTTGTTTACAGCGTAATTTGTTGATAAATAAATGTGAAAATGCAAACAAATCGGTGAACAACAACCACCGTGCTACGCAATCGACGTCCGCTGACTAATGGCCCCACCAATCTATAGCTCTCCCTTTTCCTCCAAAAGGTACATATAAAGTATAGTATAGTATGGTATAGTATAAGGGCCCCCTTCCGTTCGACACGTATAAAAATATTGGTCAAGTTTTTATGGGGCTCTTCCCTTTATGGCATACTTGAAATTTTGCCAATTTGTCTCAAACTGACACGTCTGCTGCGTAGGTTCCACGGCAATTTTTTTGTCACCTTAGATATTGAGGCGGAGACATGTGAAGGGCGTCGCATTATTTGGCGCCATTAAAAATGAGCTAAATTAGCATTTCTTAACGAACTCGGTTATTAATTGCCGTGTTTCTATTTGGCGAAAATCACCAATTCATTCACACTCGCTGCCACGACAGGTGATCTCTGCTCTGCGATGATCTAATCCGCCGATATCAATTGCCGTAATTAGGCTCAATTAATTTGGCATAAAAGCGGAAATGGAAAAGTGCTGGTTCGAACGGATGCAAAAAAAAAGAGAAAAAAATGGCCAAGAAAACCCAAAAAAAAAAGCGTCGGAAAAAATTGTCTTAATGATAGACATTCACTTTTTATGGTCGCGCGAGGTGTGCGTCTTAATGGAGTGAAATTTCTGGTAATTGAGCGCGACGAGCTTTAGACTCTTGGGTGCGCATTTGATGAATTTTGAACGAGTCTATATATTTTTGCAGCAATTTGGCTGGCTTTGTTTTTGGCACGGCTCAGTGCCCCGGCTTCTCGGCTTCCTCGGCCCCAGCCTTCTTCCTCGGTTTTTGCTTTTGCTATTGCCTTAGCTGCTGTTGCTGCTGCATTTGTTATGCAAATCAAGTGCCGCCATATGTATGAAGCCGATATACTATATATACGTGTATATATATGAACTAAGAAACCGAAACGCTGCTACAGCCATTCGGTAGTACACAGAGAAAAAATAACACTAGAAATTGAGGATCTGTTGAACTATTTTTGCGACAAGCATTAGGCTGAAGGATCTTTTACAATTGTGTACAAATTTGACAGGTTTATATACTTTACAAAGATTGTGTTCTTATAAATCTTGTTATAATATTTTTAACGTTCAATAAAAATGTCTTGCTTATTTTGATTTTACGACTGGGTACAAAACAACTTTGATTGATGTATGGCAATGTTTTTATTATTAGTTGACATTTGTGAGGAACAATATTATATCTGAAGAACCAAATCAGCTTTATTTATATTTTCGCTGTGCATGGGAGCTATAGTTGTTGGAGCCGGAGATGAAGTTGGCCGGACCGGGGCAAGTCGGTTTGGGCCAACTCAGACCGGCGCACCACACAAAATTGAAATAAACTGAATCCGCGAACTGGTTGTGTAGGCAGCCCACGTACAAGGTCTTCAAATATGGCTCTTTATTTAGCCGTTGTGGCTGGTCTTTTCTAAGCATTTTTCTTCTATTTCTTGTGTGTTGGATTTTAGACGCTATAATAGCATTAATTTACCATACAATTTCATATTTATGGCCATTGTACGCTGAAGTGCAATTCGCTTTTAAACTTTGTTTTCCATTTGTTTTTGTTTGGGTTTTGCTTTTTTTCGTTTTGTATTTTGTATTTTTTCAATTTGTGCAGTCTGCAGTTCCTGAGTGAGTGTCGTGCTTTCTGTGTGGGCGGTTTGTTTACTTTTGCGCCCCATTTTTGGTTTTTAATTGAGTTTGTTGTTTATTTGAGTTACATGCATGCCGCCCTCTCGATTGCTCGCC